AGCAGTACAGTTCCATGATATAATTGTACCCATGCAATGAACCAAGCTATAGCTAGCAAAAAGACTGATTTTTTTTTGCTCGAGAAACGATGCAATTAGGTCGTGTATGAGAGAAAGCAAAAACTTTTGGTCCGTTCGCTCTCGCTTGCTCGATCATGCATGGTGGCCATGACAAATTGGCAATGGCCCTCAGTTTTAAGTGGTGATCGCCTTGAAAAAAGCCTGGAGTTCTTCGCGGTGTGCAGCATGCGTGTATGCGAGCCCTTTTTGTCAGGCGACTTGCACAAGCCTGACCCCAGAAAGACCGACAACCATCCAGGCACGAAAATTCATGCAATGCTCCAACATTGCATCCATTGGCAGCTAGCTCGCCGGTAGCCTCTCTCCCCTGCCACTACTACACACATTTTATGCATTTGCCCCATATCCATCACCATTATTCTAGCTACCACTACATGCTTACCTCTAGTCCTAGTACTAGCTAGCCACTTCGCCAAGAAAATGCAATGCAACCGCACATTCCGTCACATAAAAAAATAAATCTAGTAGCTGATATTGGTATATCCTACTACTACGAATATAAACAAATATTATGGTCTGTTTTGGTTTAATGCCAAGACTTGCCCTACCAAATATTTGGCAATTTAAATAGTGTTTTGTAGATGTTTGGATTGATGCGAATATTTGCCAACTCATATAGTCCAACTCTACTAAAACATTGGTAGTGCCAAAACATGTCTAAGATTTGGCACTACCAATAGTTTGATAAGGATTAAGGAATCAAACCACATAAACCCATCCAGATTGGTGGTACTATAATATATCAACATCCGATCCTAAATTGATTTTTTGTGGGACGGATGAAGTATGCAAGTACTCCCTCCCATATGTCTCGTGATAGATTTATTTTTAATGGAATGGATGGAGTGGTAGCTTGGTATCTGCTACCTCCTTTGTAAAATGTAGTTGTTTTTAGCACAATAATTTGTCTCAAAATAAAGCTAATTCTTGATTTATTCACATACCTCCTTCTCTCAACCAATGAAAACTATTCTCTTTCATATATTTTTTCTTCTCAACCAATCACACATTTTCTTTAATCATTCTCACCTATTTTCTTAATACTCGTGCCAACCATAAAAATGATTAAATTTTGTACTGAGGAAGCCGTGAAGGTGCAGTGATGGAGACACCCATATTGCCAGTGAGATACTATATATGCTAGTACTTGTGACTTGTCCTACTCCTACTACTACTCCTCCCGTCCTCCGATCCATTGCTTGCATGGATCGATCGATCGGTCACTGGTTCACCCACACACTGTTGAGAGTGCAACATCGTGATGGGATCACATCCACATCTCTATGGACTCTATCCCCAAAGGAGGAGTACTTTGCGAATGGAATCATGCAGAGGAGGAAAGCAACCACGCATTGTTGCAGTTGCATATATATACATACTCCATGGAGAAGAGAAGAGGGCGATTGCTGTGCAAAAGTAGTACGTGCACATTGCCCGCGCTGGGGCCTGGTTTTGCAGAATGATTCCATGCAAAAGCGGCTAAACTGCTCGCGCCATTGACATATGCACATGTCCTCCGTCCGCCGTGTGCATCGGCCTTTCAGATGAAATTCAGAATTTCAACTGTTGAGAGTAGCAGTAATACGCATGCAGTCATGCAGAGTACGTCTTGTCTGAATTGGACGTTGATACCGGCGGAATTAATGGCTGAAGTTCTCTGAAATGTATCTGCCAGATCGATGGTGGCGGATTTATCTGAAATGAATTTATGTAACTTACAGTGATTGCATGGTACTACTACTAATTGATTATAAGCTCTATATTTGCTTATTGCAGTGTGTACGTAGTACGGCTATATATAGTTCTATTGAGAATTTCAGTCGATGAAAGAAAGAGAAAAAAAAAAGAACTGTGATCTATATACTGATGCATGATCATCGATGGAGAGCGTTGGATGGCGAAATGGCGATGGGGGAAGTGGCATCGAAACGGAGAGAGTGGTTTCCCCCTTTTTTCTGCAGATTCTCTCTGGTTTTTGATGGGAGAAAGATAATGGCACGTACTGTGAGCGTAAACTGTGTGGCAGTTTGTCGTGCCTGCTTGAACGTAGCGGCGAATGGCCAGAACAAAAACATGTCCAAGATGGCAGACAACGACGCTTGCTCGCCACGCACGTGCCAGTGCTGCGTTGCACAGCTCGACACATTCGCAGAAAGCTACCCCTTTTTAATATTCATCTTCAGATACAAGTATTTTGTCCTAAGATATACTGATATAGTATGTGTATATTCACCGGGGAGGAACTATAAACTTTTGGTACAAGTTCACCACACACATTCACCCGAAAAAAAAAAAAGAGTTTACCACACGCATTCACCGTCAACTCATCCAAATAATGACATACTCCATGCATCATCTGCAGAGATCAGTCATCAGATGATCAGATCAATATGCATCATCTGCAGCGATCAGTCGATCATCAGATGATCAGTGGTCAGTCATCTGCTAGCTGCTAATCAACGGATGAGCCGGAGGCCGTCTGGCCGTGCGTACGAACGTCACCCCATGACCCCATGACCCAGCTAGCTCCTGCTAACGATCGATATGATTAGGCGTATTCACGAGCTCGACCAAACGGAAATAAACGCATGCATGCATGCAGACGCAGTGCTTTCAAATCGATCAGCTACTAGTATATACGTGTAGTACGCGTACTCCTACTGATCAGCGTCTCGATCGGGCCCAAATAATTAACTGGCCGGCTGGGCTCCGGCTGCAGCGTGTGTCACGCCCCGGCCCGACCGGCCGGGCCAGCGAGATCGATGCATCTAGCTTGGTGTATATCCTAGTATAGTCCCGTTGCTAGTCCAGTTGCCGAGTGCCGACCGTTTGCCAAGAGTACGGAACATGTGTACATGTTTGATGGCTAATTGAAACGACGTGAGAACAGCAGAACTCATCGTCGTCACAGATTGATCAACTGTCTAGCGATCGATACGCACATGTGCAAAAGCTGCAGGGCCTGTGTACAAATTAAGCTAGCGCTAGCTGTTGTTTTAATTGAGAGCTTATCCTCATTTGGTGGATCAACAACAACCAGCTACTTCCTCCGTCCTAAAAATAAAACAACTAATTATCATAATTCATCTTAGAAAGTTGTTTTTTAAACAGTGGATATATATCTAGATTCATTCTTTAAAATTAGTTTTTTAGGATTTATAGAGGGGTATGACTAGGGGTGAAAACGATCGAGTAAATTCCTGATCGATCAAGCGTTATTTTCATATAAGGGGTACCGTTTCCGACCATACCGTTTTTAGCTATTTATAATTTTTGTTTTTTCTAATTTCTTTCTATATTATATTAATATTGACACCAAGTAGTTTAAATGATAAATATGGTCAATTACCGGCCGATCGAGCGTCATTGTCAAAGAGACATTACCATTTCCGACCGTTTTCACCCCTCAGGTATATCTAGAGATGGTGTACTGTAGCTAACTACGTACGCACTGATAACTGATTGCTGCTGCGTAATTGATTCAGCGATTCAGTGGATGATTAGTAGTTGTCCATATCTACCCCAGCAGATGCTGAATGTACGTTAATCTACCTCCCCCCCCCCCCCCCCCCCCCCGGGTTCAAAACTCCTGGGTAAACTGTCAGGCTGCTTTTGTGCTAGCTACGTGGTAATTATACAAGGCGCCCCGAGAGAGCTGATCATTGACACGCAATGCACAGTCGCTGCGAATTCGTGATGGGCACATATATACGTACCACTGCCCCTAGGTCCCCCTGCCGGCACATGCCCCGTGCAGGCCGGGACGAGGCGCCGTACGCGCCAACAATAATGCTTGCTCGATCGCCAATCGATCGCAAACGGCAAACCGTCCGGGCGATTCTACCGTGGCGCACGGCGCCGGCCGGCAACGAACCGAGCAACGACACCCCCCCCCCCCCCTCCCCTGCTCCCCCGGCGCTGGTCGATCGGACGAGAATTCGGCCGTGGCGCTGTGCGCTGTGCGCGCGCGACAACTGGGAGGTACGCGTGCGTCGCAGCGTGGGATCGAAAGTGCGTAATGTCGCTTGATTAATATTGTGGGCTGTCCTACCAAGTCCTGATTTGATTTGACGGGGATTAGCTAGCTCAGCTGCTGCGTTAGTTGCTGGTGAGAAAGATAGAGGATTGCTGTGGTGTGTAACCCGGATTTCCTGCGAGAATACGGTGGAACGACAGGGATTGTTCGTGCACAGCACAGGGTGCAGTTGTGTCGGGACGATGCACCAACGCCACGGATTGGTGCTTTTCCGTGGTGTTTTCTCGCGTGATCTGCACGCGGGTTTCGGCGCAAACTCGCAAGGCCGGCGCGCGCGGCCCACGAACGCGATTTCAACTGTGGACGCTGCTTCGACTGAGCGAGCCCACTATCCTTCACGGGGTTCGGCCCAAAAAGACCAGCAGCGCTCCCTTTCCGACACCGAGTCCGTTTCGGTTTCAGGCTTTCAGCACGCACGGTCAGTATGTATATAAAACTACAGGTGCACCATGCACGCAGCTGCGGTAGTCTGCAGGTTTACTTGAGAGTTTTGTCGATGGAGTGTTGTGGGGGAAACTGTTTTAAATACTCGGGTGGACGTCCACCCGTTTCTTGCATGTCATCTAAATGATTATGAAAAAATTTCAAAAAAATTGACATGATAGGTTAATATGTAATATATCACTTCACAAACATGCAAATCCAAATTCAACTTCTATAAGTCGTAACAAAAAAAATAATAAATTTAACTGTGAATATACGTATACTAGTTAAAGTTTGATTTGTTATTTTCGTTACAACTTGTAGAAGTCGAATTTGAACTTACATGTTCGTGAAGTGATATATTACATATTAACCTATCTTGTGAATTTTTTTGAAATTTTTTTATAATTATTTAGGTGGCATGCAAGAAACGGGTGGACGTCCACCCGAGAGAGATTAGAATCCATCCTCAGTGTTGTGGCCAACGATCCATCGCTGGCGGCGGCGGCGGTGGCGAAGACCGTCTGAGCGCGTTGCCGGACGACATCCTGCTGGAAATCATGGGCAACCTCGGCGTCCGCGAGGCTGGGAGGATGGCCGTGCTGTCGAGGCGGTGGCGGCGGCTGCCCGGCCTTCTCCCGCGGCTGGTCATCGACGCCCGGGAGTTCGAGCCCGCCGCTCTCCGCGCCGGCTGGCACGCGAGGACGAAGCGGGCCATGGAGCGCGTCGCCGGCGCGGTGGAGAGCCTTCTTCCCGGAGACCGCGCCATCGAGCGGCTGCGGCTCGACGCGTACCTGCTCAGGGACGAGTCCTACACCGTCCGCCGCGTCGTCGAGCGCCTCAACGACGCCGTCGACAGCGGCAAGGTCGCGGCCGGCGGGCTGGAGCTCGTGTTCAGGGCCACCGGCGGAGGCGGCGCGCCCGATCAGGATCAGCCGAGCAAGCGGCAGGCGCGGCGGCTGGCGCGCCTCCTGGCCGCGGCCGCGTCGCCGAGCCTGCTGCCCTCCGTCGCCGAGCTTTCCCTCGTCAACCTGCGGTTCACGTCGCCGGCGCTCGCGTCCCTCCTCGGCCGCTGCACCGGCCTGGAGGAGCTCGGAATGTACCAGTCCGACGCGGGGTTCGGCGCGGTGTTGGACGTGGGGCACGCGCGGCTGAGGCGCCTCGCCGTGCACGCCGTGGACGAGGCCATGTACAAGAAACTGCGGGTGTCGTCGGCGCCGAGGCTGGAGCGCGTCGTCGTCGCCAACTGGTTCTGCCGCTACGCCCCCGTCTCGTTCGGCCACGTCCCGTGCCTCAGGGAGCTGCACTTGAAGAACAAAGCCGTTTACTACCAGGAACCAGTAAGACTAAGCAAAATGTTGGCCAGCACACCGCACCTCGAGTCTCTGACATTGGGGTTCTCATCTTGGAGGGTAAGTATCTAATGCAACATCAGTCACCCTACTCCTTCATTAAAAGAAGGCAATCAACTTTTTTTATAGTGTAAGTTTCGTAAAACTGCAGATACTTTGCAACTACAGATTTAAAAACTTGTTTCACAAAACTACAGATTTAGTGGCTTCGTTTGTCATAAAACTATAGATACTTTGTATAATATATCACAAAAATACAGATTTAAGAACTTGTTTTATAAAACTACAGATTCAGTGGCTTCGTTTATCACAAAACTACAAATGCTTTGCACAATATATCACAAAACTACAGATTTAAGAATTTGTTTCATAAAACTACAGATTTAATATATTCATTTATTACAAAACTATAAGTTTAGTGTCTTCATTATCACAAAACTACATATTTTAGTATTCTTAAAACTTGTAGTTTTGGGATAATGGAGACACTGAATCTGTAGTTTTGTGATAAATGAAGACACAAAATGTGTAGTTTTGTAATAAACGAATACACTAAATCTATAATTTTGTAAAACAAGTTCTTAAATCTATAGTTTTGTCATAGATTGTACAAACTACCTGTAGTTTTGTGATAAACGGAGACACTGAATATGTAGTTTTGTGAAACAACCTTTTAAATCTGTAGTTTTGTGATAAATTGTGCAAAATACTTGTAGTTTTGTGAAATTTACTCATTTTTATTTTTTTTACCAACTGCCTCTTTACTCTTTATGTACTTTAATTTTATAAAACATCCCTTCTACATATTGTTAATATCTTATTTTATCTCTAGAATTTAAGTTTATCATGCAAAGATATCTACAGGATTAAATTGTTCCAAAAGCCTTACAATTATTCAATTAGCTTGTTCCAAACAATATATTTTTCTCATTGCCCATGCCCACGACGAGTTGTATGCAGATTTGGATCGAACCAGAGGCTCCCAAACAACTTGAACCGATGTTCAGCAAGCTGAAGTCCCTCGTTCTGACAGGAATTTTCCGTGGGTGCGACCTCTCGTGGACATTGTTCTTCCTCCAAGCAGCGCCGGTTTTGGAGGAATTTATACTCGAGGTAACTAAACATATGCATGCTTTGTCAAATCTCATCTAACGGCACAGTTTTTTTTCGTCTGAAAATCACTCTAATATGCATATATATATATATATATATATATATATGAACTTCTGCAGGTGGACAAACCTTTAGATGCCAAGGCACCGAGTGATATTTATGGCGAAATGCCGAAGACCGACGATGTGACATGGCAGGTGCCTGAGTTCCAGCATCACCATCTCAAGCATCTGTAGTTCAGTGGCTTCAATGAAGAAGAAATGCACTGGAGGATAGTGGAGCTTGTCAAGGAGAGAGCTGTGAACCTGCAGAGCATTGCTCTGGATGACGGATGCCAAGCCTGCGATGTTGTGGCGAATGAATATGTTCTCTCCGGTGGGATCAAAAACAAGAAACCGGTGTTGTTATCAGTGTCCCAGATCACAGGATCTCCTCCTATTCTCACCCTTGTATAGAGGGTGTATCCGGTGCCTTGTGCTCGCAGGCGAGTATAGGGTTGACGCCGACTCTTTTAAATATGTTCCTAAATATTTGACATCGTTGACTTTTTAAAGCATGTTTGATCGTTCGTCTTATTAAAAAAATTAAGTAATAATTAATTCTTTTCCTATTATTTGATTCATTGTCAAATATACTTTTATGTATATATATATATATATATATAGTTTTACATATTTCACAAAAGTTTTTAAATAAAATGAACGGTCAAACATGTTTAAAAAAAATCAACAGTGTCAAATATTTAGGGACGGATGGAGTAATATAGAGTTACTAACTGCAAATACAAATCAATGGGAGGATGGACTCAGCGGCCGTAAAGCTAATATGCAAGGCATGGGCACCTTCAGAATACAAAAAAATTATATGGCTCCTACTACAAAATAAGATTTGGACGGTAGACGCTGCAAATCCGACAGTGGCCAAACAATTATTTTTACCAGCTCTACTAAAAAAACCTTGAAACAGCTCAGCATCAAATCAAGGACTGCATTTTCGTATGCCAAATATAGGAGAAAATCATGTAAAACACTGAGATGTGATGCTCCAAGCATGTACAACAGCGATGAAACCTAGCTGAATTGGTAGATAAAAGGGACACCCCAAGGTGAAAAACACAAGACAAAGATGATAAAAGAGTGGCATGAGAGATATGGTGTGAACAGAACAAAAGAGTGGTTCATAACAAACAGACTGAAATGCCACAACTAATGACCAGGAATCCAGGATCATATGCAGCGCCAAGGATATCATTAGAATTTCCCAATAGATCGACATAGGCGGGACTATTCTGTTTGCTTTCTGTTTCTTTTTCGTTTTCAGGTCTCTTCACACTTGGTGATGTTGTAAATTATTTATACCCTACTTTTTTTAACATTAAATAATTTCTATCCTACTTAATATAACAAAAGACACAAACCAAAATTAGGGCGAAACAGGAAAATAAAACGATTGGTCTTAACCAACCAGAAAGGATAAGAAAATTTATACTGGAAAGTAGATGTGATGGAAGAAAAGAAACAGAAAAGGTAGTAAAAGTTTTTATAATTAAAGAGTTTCTATAGTAAAGACTTATTGTGATCATTGTTTCCTATTTATGTTTGAGTGCAAAGTAGAGAAGGTAAGGAAGCTGGTATTTGTGTTATGTGAACTGTTTGAGTTAGATGCTTAGTGAAAGTCTGCAGCCAAACACAATGGATCCAAAATGTGATGAGCTCTTTTATAGAAATCACTAATCTGTGTCTTCATTCAGTGTTCCAATAGCAACAGATACACAAAAAAAAAGTCCATTTGCCGTGTTACGACAACTACAGTTAATCAGTTATTATTCTGATCCATCAGGAAAATGTTCAAGTGCATTCTGTTTTCCATTGACGTAAAACTCAATCACTGCTTTCATGCGTTCCGACTTATCAGGATGGTAATTCAAGTGCACAATCACTGGCTTCAACTTCCGCAGATTAGCATCTTTCCTCACAGTCTTGAATAGAACTTTGCTGTTCATAAATTGGTATATATCCATGGTTCTTTTGGATATATGGAGACCTTCATAACCTGGATGTGAGGGGAAGAACAGTTCCTCATTGAAAACAGCTTGATCCCATGATTTGGGTTCACGAGAAAGGCGGCCAGCTACTCTATCCAAAAGCTCAATAGAAGGAATTGTTGGCCTTATGAAGAAAAATCCGGAATTATAAACCCATATGCGCATTGTGTGTGCGTATCTTGCCCAGCCCATTAAGGGCTCATCAAATACATCATTGAAACCATAAGCTGTCCTATTGTCATGACCATCACTCATTGACTCTACATCAGCATCTCTGTAAAGATGATCAAACGGATTCTGGAAGAAAATAATATCGATATCTGATAGGAGCACACTATATCCAAGCTGCAAGAATTCCCTCAATATGCGAAACTTTAGTCCAGACACAGCATGGTTTCCACCTACCTTTCCAATATTGTCAACTCCTTCGTCAGGATCCCGCCTATAAAATGGAACACCTTTAGACTTGCAAAAGGTTTCAGTGCTGTCATCCAATGCAACAATTAAATAATTTGAAATCCCAACTCGTTTGATGTTAGTAAACCACATCTCAAGCATCTCTCTCACATTGGAGTTTGCCAACGCAACAATTAGTTCTTTCTTTATAGCAACCTGTTGCAATATCTTGGCCAATCTGGGATTTATGGATTCATCAGGGATAACTGTTGGATTTTTTCTAATAGCCTTGACAGTACCAAAAGGACCAGCCTTATATAGAACCTCGTCTTTTCCTTGCCCAGCTAATTGAAGCTTCATTGTTAGTTCATTAATCTGCTTCCTAAATTCAGCATTTTTCCTCTCCAACAATACTACATGTGACTTTAGGCTGGTAACTCCCTCAGAAGTCTCACAGGCAACTGAGTCAGCCTATAAAGATAGAAACATAATTGTAAAACCATATCTGATAATAAAACAAATATCAGTGCATCTAAGGTTATAACAAAAAGTTTAAACGATCAACAAGGTGCATTCAGTTTTGATGTATGAAGACATATTATACACATTTAATTTATGGTATACGTGTGCAGGGTATTGAACACAATGACTAACATATCCTGTAACACTGCATACAAGCCAAAAGCAAACAAAGAAAGGATTGCACTTCACAAGATTGTTTGGAAGACAGGATTATCGAGGATTCATGTAGTATGGAGTTGTATTGAGTTGAATTTAACTAAAGTTATGTTCCAAATGTAGCTTACAAGTTTATGGAAACATAACACTTGTAAAAATAACTCTGTGGAAAAAGTTTCATAATCTTTTTTTTCATGGTATTACATGGTGTGGCTTACATATTGATAAATTTACTTCCACCCCTCAAAGTGTTACTATTTGAACAACAATTTATACATATTACAAGCAGTAGTTAAACAGACTGTGAGCCATATACTTTTTCTATTAGACCCCTGGTGGCATTACAAAAATTATAAATAACAGTACTAACTACACACAGGAAATTAAGATTCAAAAAAAAAATTTCAACAAAAAAAAAGACAACTGACTGATTTTTCATTGAAACATAAATTCGATGTCCAGGACACAAGAAAATTTTGGCCTGGTTTGGTACAATCCAGGCAAAGAACTTAACGAAGTAGAACCTTGGTATCATAATAACTGCAGAATTAATACAGGAAATTGCAATCTTAAAATTGGTAGTGTCTCAATCAATGAAGGTGGCAATTGGAACTACATGAGTGTATCGTGAAGAGTATGCACGTGTGAAAGCGGGGGACAAAACTTAGTACCAACTCAACATTGAAGATAAAAATTCATCTCCGTACTCATTAGTAATTTGAGCATCCCCCTGGCTAACTTACTGTATCTTCTCTTTCAGCCCAATTTCTTGACAATGGCTCATTGCTAGTGCCTTGAGAATCACATCTATTAGCTATAGATGACAACCACTTGAAATACTGTTGTTCATAGATGGGTAAAAAACTAAAAACAAATAGATGTGTTGCTACAAGAAATACCGTGACAAGCTACTGGCTGCAAGCGCTGCCAACCAAAGTGAACTAGTGATTGGCCAAAGATCAATATTTCCAAACGAATTGCTCATTATTTGTGACAAAATATTGCAGTGTGTGCCATCAACACCATGAACAAGCATATAAGGGACCACTTCAACAGAGGTAACAACCAACCCCCTAATACATTCATGGAATCATGGGTAATAATCACATAGCGTTGCAGCAATCAAGGAAAATCTCTATTTTAAGGTCATACGATCCTAGCAATTGATTGACTGATTTGTCGGCTTGTCCCAATACAATTGCCTTCGTATAACACAAACCTTCCTTATCGTATCATTTAAGCATACCTTAGAGAGTTGAGCTTTTTTTTTCTTTTGGGTAAAATGATCTTACTTTTTTCCGAGTGATCTCACGCACACCGTCTTACTAATCCATATAACAATCAGGATTCCGTGATCCAATCACCGATTGCTACTGTTACAGTAGTCCAAAAATGAATCGTGTTCGACTAAAAAAATGAATTCCCCTAACATTAGAAAACCCCAAGCTAAAACAGATGCCCCAAAACCAACAATCGCTAACCGCCCCAGTTCAAACCCCAACGATCCCCGCCCACGACTCTCCCCTCCCTTCCCACGAGACGACGCGGCGGGCGGCGAAAAGGCAAGGGGACGGGGGAGATAGGCGCGGAGGCGGCGGTTTACCTGGCGAGGCCAATGGAGGGCGGCGTCGGAGGAGCGGGAGAGGAGGCCGTCGGGGTAGAGGAAGGCGCACACGCAGCCGAGCGCGACGCCGACGGCGACCGCCGCCGCGATGCGCGACCCGCGCGAGAGCGGCTGCCCTGCCCCGCCGCCCGCGCCGCCGCGCATCAGGGGGCCCTCCCGCCGGCTGGCCATCCGCCGCTCGCCGCCGCCGCCGCCGAGGAGATCGGAGGGAACGGGAGATCTGGGAGAAGGGTGGGGCCCGGCTACTGACTAGTGGTGGCTTGCCCGCCCGAGACGTGACGCTCGGTTTGCTTTGTTTGTGTGGAGAAGTGGGACGAACTGTATCGAGTAAGATTCGTTAGTGGAGGAAGGGGACGGTGGATATGTAGTGCACCACTTATCATATCAACTGGGCGTACGGCTCAGATTTGACCAGATTTTTGCAATTGGGAGTGTACTGCTCCCTCCCTCTGTTCCATCCTTGTTATTACTCCCTCTCCCACCGTCTCGAAATATAACAAAATACAATAACCTATAATCAGATAAGACATTTTCTAATACTATCGAGGACTAAGAAATGTCTTATCTGGTCTTAGATTTATTTTAGGACGGAAGGAGTAGTTGTTTTGAAATTTTTTTCGTAATTATATTTTTTAAGTTTAGCATTTTTAACATAAAATAAATATATTATCAAAATATATCTAATGTTAGATTTAATGAAGCTAATTTCGTGTTTTACATGTTGCTAAATTATACTAAAAATTTAATTAAACTTAACAAATTTTGAATAGCAAAAAATCACGGTGATTTATAATATGGTACGGAGGTAGTATTATATTTCTGTAAGGAACCCGTTTCCAGGAGTTGACTTTTGGCACAACCCGCAAGGTCCCTGTTTTAAATAGTATCCTCACTTTGTTTATAAAAAGAATGGGAGGACTCCAGGAGTATTCCTGCTGGCTCACTGTGAAATACTACTTGCATAATTTATGTGAATTTCTCTGTGTTTCAAGTGGGACATATATAGGAGTAAAGAGTGATTGCAAACATTTACTAGTAGCATATGGTTGGTGTAGTAGGGACACAAGTGTGACTTGAAAGATACTCCATCCGGTCATAATTTGTTGAAATTTATGGTTAATCTTTTAAAACTTTGCAATTTTTCAAATACTTATTCAAAAAAAAATAATATACATAGATTTACTGTGAAAATTACTAGCACGATATCCCACTTATTCTAATATGTAATCGATCGTCATGATTTCAGAACTTTAACCAAATTTTGTTCTAAACATATAATACTTATGACCAGAGGGAGAGTTTTAGTTTGTGCTTGTGTCGATGATTGGATTTTGACAGTGAAATTTTAGTGGTGCTTGTTTGAAAGCATACCAATTTTGGATTTTTAGAACTTAATTAATTTTACAATTCTCAAGGACATGAACTAATATTGTGGCCAGCATCAGAACATTCTTTTTTTTTCCAGGTTCATGTAGAAATCACATTTAGTTTATATGAAAATGCTACAAAATCCACATGGAATGAAAAATTTTGTGTTCTATAGAAGGCATGAAATTAAATAATAGGGAGTATAGGCAATGATTTTCTCATGTCTAGTACTCCATCCATCCCAAAATATAAGAGGCCTATAATTTTAGGAAAATCCATAGTTTGCAATTTTGACTAATAATTAAACTGACAATATACTACGTGCTTAGTACTAAGGAGTATTATGTATGTGGCATCGTTATATTCGTCATATTATGCCAATTTTGTTGTGCTAATTTTGTGGTTGTTGATAATATATTATGAAATAAACTAAGGGGCAAAGTTTTATGTTGAAAACCAAGTAAAAGACTTAATACTCCTTATATTTTAGGATATAAAGAGTAGCAAATTTTATTGTTGATTTAGGATGTGTCGTAATGTGTTAATAGGCTAGGCCGCTTCCTCGTTTATTGTGACTTTGTACTGCTTAACAGTGTATTTCATGTCAAAACTCTTTATATTGAAGTTTCTTTAAACTATCAAACAAATCCATCTTTTAAGGCCAATGAGCTTGATCCAACGAAGCCTTAAACCAAGTGAATGCATTACATTTGACATTTGTCAACGAACTATCCCATTTGTCAACTGAATGGATGGCCACAGTATCGGCAAAGCGAAGTACACCACGTGCAAAGGGAGAATTCCTGGATGAATGATCATGTTCTTCAAGGACGATATGGAAGAATTTCCAAGGAATCGTGTGGCGATCTGCTGTAGCGAAGTACACCATAGAATAATTTTGAGATGGATGGCTGTGAGGCGTTCACAATTTCGCGGAATCTCGCTTGAACAGTTGAACTTAACAAATTTCGAGCGTCTCAAGCAGGTCAAAACAATATCTAAAAACGTGAATATTAGGAAAGAACCTAATATCAAATAATTAAAAGGGGTGATGCTTCGAACCCAGGTCGTCTAGCTCACCACCTTGTGGAGCTAGTTGGAAGACCCTGGGCGTTTCAAACGTCAAAACAAGATCTCAACTGCTTGAGGTGCATTTCGAATGGTTTGTTTGAAATTTGTTAAATTTATTTGAAATTAGCGAAAAATCGACCTCTCCCAACGGGGCTCGAATTTCACTATTCTAATGATATTGTAAAGATTACTCATGATCAGCACTTTCAGAATAAGTACAACAAAGTTTTTCTTTTTTTTGAGGAACAGGGTGTGTCTGAATCTGATTCAGAACTCAGAAGTGTCCGGTTCATTCATGTTAGCATTAAACCAAACAAAAAACTGTTGAGCCTGCAACTCTGCATGCAGTAACCTCTCTAATAAGCATTCGTTGATCAAGGCTGGCTCTTGAGTTGTACAAACGGACCAAAACAAATTTTTGCCATTAAAAAAAGCAAGAAAACGAACAAATTAGCATCGAAAATATATCATATGGCCGTGCAAAGATAGTGGCAACATGATCAGATCACTTCTCCTGATAGATGTATATACCACACGGATCATGCATGCGTGCATTGCAGTCGCCATGCACACGCACGCAATTGCTCGGATCACACGATGGACAGATTCCTCCGGTGAGGCCGCGTCAGCTCGTCGGCGTCGGCGTCGGCGTCGAGCTCCGGCGCATCGGTGGACATGGCTTTGTCGTTCACGCTCACGCGCGCAGCGGCGCGTTCGCCGGACGTGGGCGGCGCGGCGGCGGCGGCGGTGACTGGTCTCCGGCCGAACAGGTTCTTGAACCCGAGCACCAGCCGAGACTTGAGGCCCCTGGTGTTCGTGGTGTCCTTGGTGATGACGGCGGCGGCCGGCGCGGCGAGGTCCTCGCCGTCCCAGAGCCGGCTTCGCGGGATCCGGAAGCTGGCGGACTTGGCGGACGCGCGGTCTATGGCGGCCGAGGCCGTGGCCGCGGCGGCCGCCGCCTGCTCGGAGCGGCGCAGGCGCGTGCGGAGCCCGGCGAGCTCGCGCTCGAGGCTGTCGATCCGCTGGGTGGTGGCCTGCATGGACGCCCTGATGTGCGCCGACTGGCGCAGCACGGCGTCGCGCTGGAGGATGTCGCCGAGCGTCATGCTGCTGGCGGCGTCGCCCGCGGCGGCGGCGGTGGCGGCGAAGCCGCCACAAGCACCGAATGCGCCGGAGAGGGAGCTCTTGAGGAGCGAAGCAGGCGGCGCGGCGGAGCTCGGTGCGCCGGCGGCGCCGGCGTGGTGATGGTGACCGCCGCTGAGCAGCATGGAGTGGTGGGAGTGGAGCTGCTCGACGAGCATGGCCTGCACGACGAAGCGGAGCGGGAGGCGCGGGTTCTGGACGAGGTGCATGAACAGGTGGTGCGACAGCTTGGTGCAGTTCACGTTGTAGCACACCCTGCTCTTCTCCTCCTCCGTCAGCTTCCCCCTGTGATTCTGCATCCATCCCAAATTCAGTGCAGATCCAACACAAAAATCATTAATGCCGTGTTTAGTTCCAAACTATTTCTTCAAACTTCCAACTTTTCCATCACATCAAAACTTTCTTACACACACAAACTTCTAACTTTTCCGTCACATCGTTCCAATTTCAACCAAACTTCTAAATTAAGTGTGAACTAAACACATTCTAAATACATTTTTACACAAGAGATGCATTGAATTATGGTCTGTCAAAATGCTGATGAATTCCTCTGAACTTCTTATAGAACTTATTTTAAGATAATGGAAATTGTTTATATCTTCGGATTCTGTCTTTAAGGTACATGACCATTAAATTTGTGAACTCTTACCAGATTTAAATTGTTTGTTTCAAGATCCTACAAAATTCATCTGAGACTCATGGCTAGAAAATATTATAACTTGAGTTGTGACTTGTAGAATGCAGGGTGCAACACAATCCTCAAAAGCTCAACTTCCTTTGACCTGTAGCCCAGTAGGATAAGGATTGTGCTAACCTGTACCTCCAATGACAACTTCCTTTGAACTCAACTTAGCACCAAAGCAAAAGTATACTAATAATCAGATGATTAATGATTAGTGACTAGATGATTAGTTTTCAGAGCATAGAATCTGATGCATCTCCATGACTCCGTGTATAGTTTGCTTCAGCACAAAGGTTCTGCAGCTAATTAGCCTATCCAGGTTGACTTGCAATTAGTTACTACTCCAAATAGTGCTGCACCTATCCAGTATCCAAGTATGACTTGCATTGGGAGCAAGGAATCTTGATCCTACAGTTGAGCTCTACGAGGATTGCTTTGCATTCAGCAACAAATTCGCCACAGTGCACTGCTTCCGAAACCAACCGACACACTACTTCAGTAGCAAAATGCTTACAGCTTGATGAATCATTGGATCACGTGATGAACAGTTCAAGGTCTAGCGAATTTTCGTTCCCCCGAGTATTTAATTTGACTCGACCATGCTACTATATCAACTTGGCATAAATTTTAACAAATTTTGGGAATTTGATGTTGTAAACTTTTTTTTTTACTTACCTGCAGGTAGTGATCAACGATGGTGTACATGAGGTCGTGGTCGTGGGCGAAGCGCGCGCGCATGGCCTCGACGGCGACCTCGAACTCCTCCACGGGGAGCGCGGCCACGTCGTCGAGCCACCTGCCGTCGGCGCCGCCGGACGACGCGAGCGTCTCGAGGCACCGGACGAGCAGCGCGGCGCCGGCGCCGGCCGCCTCGCCGCCGAGGAACGCCGTGCACGCGCGCAGCACCGCGGCGGCGCGGCCGTGGTCCGTGGCCACCTCCTGGAAGAAGTAGTCCTCGGCGCGCCGGGCCAGCCCGTCCTCGCCGCGCAGCTCCAGCCAGTCCGCCGCCGCCCACGCCGCCGCGAGGCTCCCCGGCGACAGCGCCGCCTCGGCGCCGTAGCACGACGCCACCGCGTCCACGAACGCGTCGACGGTGAGCCCCGCCGGCAGGTCCACGGCGACGTCGCTGCACTCCGACAGCCGCCGCTTCAGGTAGCTGCTCTGCGACGTGATCGGATCCTACCAATAAACCAAATTAAAACCTTGCTAAAAAAATGGAAAAATGCTCTTGTGAAAAAACGTGGGTAGCTGACATGGGATCCACGAGTTACGGGTTCACGTGTCAGTCAGTTAGGGCATGTTATTATAACCAAAATAAACTAGAGCAAGTTAACAATATTGTCAAAATTTTAGCAAGATTTCTTATGTATTTATCAAATTTGGCAACATTTTTTTAACTTTTCTAAAAAAAATAGTATAGTTGAAAATAGCATCAATTTGAACAACCTGAATAGTAAGTTAAATGATCTATTTTTAAATTTCACGCATCATGAAACATAATGTTATTTATCTATACTTCATCGTCTCTTAGCTTGTGACATCAACGATTTGGCAGAGACAGAAGAACAATCCAACAGGTGTACGTGTCGTACTACGAAATCTTGGAACTTATTATGAGAGAAAAACCATTGCCAAACAGGATGGAGCTGGAAATGTCGATCTGGCGAATGGTTCCATGGTTCCATGAGCCCACAAAGATAGCAAGGCCAAAGTATTTGAGCGGATTGGATCTTGATTATTTGCAAATACTACAAATGACAGCAGGGTTGGCAATTCCGGCACTCTACCAGTAACAAATGACCCTAGTAGAACTGCATCCTGCAGCTCTGCTACGCTATCCGTGAGAGGAAAAGAACAAAAAAGACGCCATTAAATTCCAACTTTTCAGAAGTTATAACTTTCTTGTGTTTATGCATCTCGCAGGTGGCACCAGCCTCAGAAGTTCTAACTTTTCAGCCTTTAAACACACGGTTGCTGTACACTGTACAAACCCCATTAACTCTTCACTAAACTGGAATGCACAGTACAGCACAAGAAACATTTCAGTCTGCTACCTGCACAATAGTACTAGAACTCCTAATGAGCAGCAGTTAATTCTGCAATAACTTGCAACTAAAGGTTGCTTAGGAGTATCCTAGAAAACCATGTCGGCCAAGTTGAGCACAGTTAAGAACTGATGCAGACATGACACTAACGTTCAGAGCTTCCTAAAGGACACTGATAGTAAATTTTGAAGAGATCTGTCCATCTAACCCACATTTATTCACACCTTCCTTTTGTTTGGTTAGCATGAATGCAATGCTTATGTATGTGTACGTCGACGAAATGCCATGGTCCCAATCCACCATAATTCATATTCGAATTCCAGCAATATTACCTGTAGAACTGCGTCAAATTTAATAGCCAAACTGCGTACTACCTAGCACATGTTATATTGAAGGGACCAAATCCTAATGATAATGAATACCCCTATTCCACACAAGATCTCTTCTTCTCCTAGCCTTCTACTACTACTGTATTCAATTCAGTTCAAAGTTCAAATCATCACTGCAGCCTGCAAGGTAAACCAATGCAGGAATACAGGAGCAGTACAAAAGTGCAACGAGGATGGAAGGCAGTAACTTGTCGAGGCAGTAACTTCGCTGACGGTTACTGAATGTTTACAAATCCCTCCTGCATCCCAGTGCTCAGACCAAGGCAGGGAAGTAAATGTGCTACAGAATTGTCATCAATAATTTTGCCTCTTGCAATGCCATTGGGAGCTGTTCCTCGTGGGGGGCAGAGAAGCCTGTGGCATTGCGGGCTCACTACTCTACCTTCTTGGCCCAAATTTAAGCACAACCAAACTGCTCATCTACCTGCAAACCTTTTGCAGGATCTCTTAATGCAGAAAAATTTAATTGATGAATGCCATTATAATCCATGTATTTATGCAAGTTCCAGTTGATGAAGGATTGAAAGCCACATTTGCCAGTGCCACTACATTGATGAAATTTGCAGGCACATAATTTCTTTTTTAGGCAGAAAATGGGCATCTGCCCAACGAATTCTTGTGCAGTGCGGCTAAACCATAAGGATGTAACCTGAAATGTTGTATACCTAAAGAAGGCAGTAGCCCAGCCACAGTGAATCTATGAGCACTGTCTTTTTGGTGCAAGGAAAAATGCACAGTAACTAATGTGAGTTACTCCCTTCCCTTTCTTACCATCACAAGAAACGTATGACCAGATGGATGTGGACTGATCATGCATTGCCATCCGTCCGTTTCTATCCAGCCGGACCCGTATTAATTTGCCATGAATAATTTGTTTCTAACAGAAGACATGCAGCTGCAGCATGATCTATTACACTATTCAATTTTTAAAAACTGCCAGGACTGCAGGACATCACTAACGCAGCAGGTTAGAAAATTCAGTCACATTCTAATCGGTAATAATATCCTTCAAAAAAAATCGGTAATAATAAGATACTATGTGTGGTAAAAATTCGATAAAGGACGGCGTTCGAAATCAGAAAGAAGGACTGAATTTTTACCCTGTGCAGAAAGAAAGCAAGTGTTCAAGAAAGGAAGGGTCTTTCTTACCCTGTGCAGAGCGAAGCAATGTTCTTGGACACGGACGATCACATCCGGCTTGCACGGCCCATTCGCCCGCGACCTTTCGCCGATGCATCATCAGAACAGAGAGGAAACAAAATTCAACACCGATCTCCCAGTCAGATTGCGAAATTCACCACCACCACCACAAGAACCAATCAACCGAAAAGATCAACAACTGAAACTGCAGCAAACGTTTACGTACCACTCGCGCACCGCGTTCCTGAGCGCCGCCGGCATGGCGAACTCCTCCGCCGCCGGAGGCGGCGAGCACGACCGCGACGTGGCCGCCGGAGAAGACGACATGGTGGGCGAATCGAAGCACTCCTCTTCTTCTTCTTCTTCCTCCTCCTCCTCCTCTTCCTCTTCCTCCTCGTGGTCGTCCTCGTAGATGGTGTCCACGACGCCGAGCTCTTGCCAGCTTCTGCTCATCTCCATCTCCATGACGCCTTCGAAATCTCTCTCGCCTTCACCTTCTTGTCCTATCTACCGCGTCACCGCTGCGCTTCTAGTACCGGGCGACGCCATTACAATTACGGGGAGGGGGTGGTGTTAAATCGGGGCGGCAATGAATGCGTGCATGTGGATGATAAATGCTGTGGCACCCTCATCCATCTTCTTCTTCCTCTTCTCTCTCACTCCCAGTGGTGGTGTCCTTCAGGCTGCACTGCAACTGCAGTGCTGCAGCTGGTGCTTATATGAGGTTCTTTTGTTTTTGAACACTGTGTCTTGTGAGGGGTGGATGGAGAGGAGGATCAGAGATAGCTGCAGCCAGTGGTGTACTGGTGTGGCTGTTTGGTTGGTAGCCTGATAGGTGGTGTGGTTGCAAGGTTTGCGCGAGATCTGGACCGTTGGATCGGGCAATGGATGGTTCAGATTAGGCGAGCCCATCTTGTTACCGAGGTTTTGTAGGGCTTTATGGCAGTTTAATGGTTTAACATATGTTACGCATCATTGCTGAGGAAGTACGGTGCGAAAAAAAAACCTAGAATCTTAAAAGAATTAAGAGATGGCAATTCCTACTATAGTGAGCAAAATTCAGGAAGTAATCAACATATGGAGAGTTTTTTTTTTCTAAAACATATATATGGATCATGTGTAGGGCTAAAGATTTGGCGAAATTATTGTAAGCGTCTTGAGCTGATCTTTTCTTTTCTTTGTTTTTATTTTCAGCTTCTGAGCAGGTTGGTTTTGTGGGTAATACCTATCCAACCAGCTTATGCACAAAATTGCTACTTTTCCTAACTATATATAACACAAGCAGTTTGCTGGCTCAAATTTAAAAATATATTTTCCTTTTAAAGTTTTGTTTATATATTTCCTTCGGAATGGGGAAAAATAAACTAAAACACCAATATATATGAACATGGTCTATTAGATTTAGAGGTTATTTTTAAGGCTGCATTCGATCTGCACTTTTAAAGATAGATTTTTAGTGCACTCAAAACAAGAAACCTTATTATCACATGATTAATTAAGTATTAATAATTATAAATTTTAAAAAGATTTGTTTGAATTTTGTAAATAACTTCTATACATTTTTTAAAAAAAACACATCGTTTAACAATTTAAAAAGTGTGCTAACGAAAAACGTGAAAATTGAAGTTTGGAGTTGAAGAAAAGAATTAGACCTAAGTCTGTTTAGCAATTGTTAGATCTATCTTGACACGTGCTAGCTCATCTCAAAACATAATCCAAGGTTGATAAAAAAAAAGAATGCCCTAGTTTGGAGAGTGATCGACCTAGAAGATTCATCCTAGTTTGGAGAGTGATCGACCTAGAAGATTCATTCATGCACATTTGTCGAGCATAAATCTATGGTAAAAATATCGATTAGATTGCAGACGTGAGTAAGTTAGCACTTAGCACGGATTCGTTATACTTGTCATGTACAGTTTGAGTAACTACAACATTTTCTATGTCAGTACTATAATGACATAGATGTATTGTTGACATATGCGGTTTGTTCGTCCATTGCATTTGTCGTATGGACTATGGACAGATGAAAGGCTGTCGTCGGTTTAATTTGTCTTCATGGGCGGATGGGCCTCTCCTTCTGTACGTAGAACAATCACATGGTTGATGGTTGGTCAGCATAGCAGATCTCGCTGAATTAAAAGATGTAACTGTTGTTTTTGCTGACACGCTGTTCCAAGGGTGCTTAGCACGCAAGAGCGCTGGAGGTGCGTCGAGATTCGTGCGGTGTTAGGCCACACGCTGATGCCGAAACGATATGCGTTGTACACGACTACCACGTAGTACATGCTTCAGCAATACTCCCTCCAGTCACGTGATGGAATTTATCCTTTGAACTTATTCAAAAATTTGTTTTATTGTTAAATATAATTTAAACGTGACTTATGTTTTTTTTTCTAAATTACACAGTACCACGCAGACACTCACAACGCACGCACGCTCACCCCTATGAACGCACGCACGCACGCACCTACTCCTATGAGGATCTTCGAAGACTGGGCCGGCAAATCCATCTTGGAGATCGCACGCAGCTCACCCCTATGAACGCACACACGCACGCAAATCCTACTCCTATGAGGATCTTCGAAGACTGGGCCGGCAAATCCATCTTGGAGATTGATGAAGTCACCGCAGGCGCTTCGCCGTCGCCTACCGCTGAAAGCACAAGCCGTTAAATCCTAAAAAAATATGCCCCCACGGAAAGTCGAACCCAGGATTTAAAGTGCTACTGAGACTCTTGTAACCACTGAGCTACATGCTCATGTGACTTATGTTTGTATACATTTGCATTAAAACTTTGAATAACATACATGGTAAAATCTCGTGATCAAAGTTAACTGTGTATATTTATGACCAGTGAGAGTATATGTTTGATAATTTTGGAGTTCGTAATTCTTGTTCTGTACGTGTTTGTGTTGTTCTCGATCTCCTTTTTTGTTGGATGCACCTAACCTAGTATTAGTTTTCCGTCCACTTAATTATAGGGAAAAATCAGTACACAAATTTAATTACACGTGAGATACCACGAAAGCTTGCACTCCTTGCTTTTTTTTCAATGTGTTGGTTAATTAAGGATCAGGGAGCAACAAAAGTCAGGCGCATTAAGATGAACAGTAGGAGGAACAGTGTATTCTGTTAGACAGTTAGAGAAGGATACTTTGCAGCTGGAAGCCTTCACTTAAGGACAGAAGTTGCAACTTGCAACCGTGCCATCCATGTTCAGATACAACTTTTTGAAACCTTCCATCTCAAAAGAAATACGGAGCAGTAAAATTCTGAAACTTGACCAAAGCAAAGAAGAACATGGTGGGCATGGCTGATGGCTCTCTCATGTCATGCGACGAAACGCAAGTTACGGAGCTGTTGAATTCTTCCCGAATTGGATGCGGTTTCTCGGCGTGTTTTTTTTTTCTTTTTGTTCTGTTCAACCTGACGCTAGCAGAAGTTCAGAACTAGGAACTCGCCGTGGCAGACTTAGGGCCTATTCACTTTAATGCCAAAAAAAACCTTACCAAATTTTAGCAACTTGCTAAAAATTTTGCAGGATTTCTTATATAGTTACCAAAATTTGGCAAGAAATTAAATGTAACCACTTTTTTTGTAACTTTACCAAAATTTAATAGGGTTGAAAATGGCATCAAAGTGAACAGACCCCTACGTAAGCTACTCATAGATATACAAATCACGAGGATGATCATTGAGTTGACAATTCGTTATTGGTTTTTTTCTCCATTTTATATGTATGGTCATGTACATTTTCGAATACAAGTCAAAAGATAAATGTAGGCGAATGATTGGCAGAACTAGTGAAAATATGAGCGGTGATCACCTTCATCTTACGCTCGTAGGTAGAATCGGAACTTTGTTTCTTACATGGCTAACAACAAATCAAGCAAATTAAACCAAAGTAACAAAACCTAATAAATCAATAACGGTGCAAATTTGCAAAACCATCCTTCAAACTTAATGGTCCTCCTCCCGTGTTGCTCATTTCCGGCGATAAGCTGACCCGGCGGCAACCACGGCGGCCGGCGGCCGGCTTCGCTCGTCCTCGGCAGCACCGGTCTCCTGGACGGAGCCCGGCCGTGCGTCCTCCGCCGCCGATCCGGCGAGCTCCCAGTAGTCGATCAGGTGCCTCCTGCTGCCGCCGCCGCCGCCGTGGGAGCTCCCGTCCTGCGACGACACGCCGCGGTAGCCGCCGCGCTGATCGTTGCTCCTCCTGATCGCGTCGATCACGAACGGGATCAGCCCCTCCATTTTTGCCACAAAACCCCTCTCCTCTTTAGTAATCTTCTCTCCCCCTTCGTCTCGCGGTCGCGGCTGCTTGTGTTGCTGTGGTTGGTTACTTGGGTTGGTTGGTGTTACGTTCATGGCTGTGGCTTGTGTATTTGTAGAGGCCACGAGGTCGTGGCGGCGCGGGCGAAACGGGGTCGCGCCTGGAGAAGGTGGCTTCCGGTGGGCGGTCGTTGATTGGGGTGGAGTACGAAGATTTCCTTCGTGTTCGTCGTCGTCGTCGGGCTCATCTTCTCATCCGGAATTCAGGATTCCGTTCTGCTTCACATTTTCTTTTCTGTATAGATGCGTGGGACTCTGGAATAGGGGAAAGGATGAGAGGGATCTTGTTTTTCAGGGGGCGCGTACACACGAAACCGGAGCACAGCAGTGCGTTTGCTGCCGTAGGTTGGGTTCTGGGTTCTGTTCTTTTATTACTTGTCATTCTGGAAGGCGTGCGAATTTGCAAATGTTTTTTCACATGAAAATGTTTTTCTATTCACAAGGAGTTAGCTTTTGATGTTTTTCACACGAAAATGTTTTTTTTTTCACACCAAAATGTTGTTGCTTCATAACAACAAACACAAATTCATTTTAGTTACTCTTTTTGACCTATGTGGTACTCAGAAAAGAACAGAGTATTCCTTTAAAATCCTTCAAGAGGTTTCAGAAAAGAGAGAGGTCGGTTTGTGCCTTTTGGCATAAACAAAAGAACATGTTGGTCACGTGCTCGATAATGCGAGAAAAAAAAGATTTTAGTGTCCATGTTTGATGGGCTCGCTATTACGATTAGAAGGTGCAATTAACCCACCATTAGTTTAGAAAGACTGGGCCACCCCCTTATCAGCATGACACATCACGCTTAACAATCCGAAGCATATGCCGTTCGTCATGAGTCGCGTGTATTAATTCCATCTGCTTGGCTGCTTCTTCGCCTGTCAAAATCTGCAGGGCAATGCAAAACCACCACCCACTTGCATGCACAGCGCAACAATCCGCGGCCCGCCGGCGCAGCAACAGCGAAGTCTGCGACCTCGAGTCGCCCAGCGAGAATTTCTAAAACCCCATCGGAATTCGGAAGTGGCGACGAGCACTGCAAATCACGTGGTTTGCGACCATGACGTGGAAAATTCAACGAGAACGGCGGTTTTTTTGACCGATCTGACGTGCAAGGCTCAACAGCCTTTGTTACTTTTGACACGCCTTGATTCATTCTCCCCAGCAGCTATACAGAGAGGGCACCAACCAACTCTGATTTTGTTGAGTTGAAAGTGATTTTTATCACTGCTTCTGCATTGCCATCAAGCAAATCCCCACGGCAATTGGGTGTAACATAAGGGAGTCATTGCCAGAAAATGCGAGAAATATCGGCATCCGGCTTGACCAAACAGCTATGGAACCACGGGGCACGGGAGAAACGTAGTATAGACATAGCAGGCAAGATCCAACCAACTGACGTCAAAATAAAGCCATGGGGGAGCCCAGCAATAAGAGGAGCAAACTAGCATAACAGTAACTTCATTGCAAAAACTGCAAAAGTAGCAGATTACACCATATAGTCACGAGCGCGTCCAGCGTGCTCAATTTCAAGCAGACACTAGAATTCAGAACTTGCGAATATAGTTGCAAAAAGCAGACAATAGACAACCAGTACGACCTTGGCAACAGCATGCCTTTTAAGTTCGATAACTTCTTGACACATTACTATCATGATGATGTGACTCAGTAATCCTTTCGCCTTAATCCCTTCCAGCATAGGATGAGGCTGGCCCACGCCCATCAATTTCTGGATCTGAAACAGAGGAGAGGAATAGTCAAGTTTACATTATAGCATGAGAAAGTAACCAAAATAATTTGAGCAAGACCAAAGAATTAATATGCATACAGCTGCTTTCGAAGTGTTCCTGCGTAAGTAGAGCGAATCAGACTCGTTGCAGCTGCGGCGTCCTTCCCTGGGCCAGCACAGTCATGTGATTGGCTGATTGCTAATCAGAGTCTTCATACAATCCCTCATCGTCAGAAAGCTCATCAAATGACCGGATATCTAGCTGGTAACGCAAGATACCACCAATGCCACCGAATCCTCTACAAAACTGAGATCCCTCTTGAGATTTATTAGTGACAAACTCAAGCGAGCAACCAAACTTCTTGTATTCATTAGCAAACCATTCCAGAAGAGACATTTTTTCCTGAACTTCCAACTCAGCATTACTAGCCGGATCACGGAAATTACTCTGGTCAGCTTCCTGCTCTTTGTTAAAATGTTTGATCACAGTTTCACCAGATGCACTGTTCTTAAGCACATATCTGTTGGTTTCAAGGTTCTCCCACACTATTAGAGTCTCAACAGCACCCATCTCAAGAGCTTTAAGAGTGTCATCAACCCCAAAGACATATTTCCCAGTATCTTGACTGATCTCTTCAAAATACTTGCCAATTAGCTTCTTCTCCTGTATGAACTTGACATTTGCTAGAATCTCAGCTGACAATTCAATAGCTTGGTTGAAACCATTCTCGCCACCATAAGAAACATCAACCACATTAAGTATCTTGGCTTGAAGTCGTTGATCAAACATGTCAGACTGACTCAATTCTGTCTTAAAATCAGCAGAACCAGCGAGGATTAGGCCTGAAACATTAGGCTGACTTGTAGCAGGATTAATGAAGAACTGAGTAGCAAGCTCAGCTGTTTTCCGGACATAATTATGGCGTTTCTCCATCCGAAGACGAGCAAAACGCAAAGCAGATTGTCCTCCTCTACCATGCTTCTTTGGGAGATCAACAGTGAATTTGTGAAGCACCTCACGTGTGTTGCCACTTAGTGTGCCAAAAAGAGTACCATTACCATCCATAACAATGAACCCAAACTTGTCATCAGATTCCAAGAGCTCATTCAAAGCTTCAGTGTGGAACTTGTTATCACAAAGATACAGTGATACATTGATAGGCTTGAAGGGTTCAAAATCAATGGTAACCTTCTTTTCCTTCCCATCTTCAGTAACAATGGTTCCAGTGTAGAGAACCAATCCATTTGGAGGAACTTTGTTATAGAGCTTCAGCCTCTGCTGAGCTGAGGTAATGGCAGCCAAAACAGACTGACGATTGACTCTACTCTTGATGTTTGAGGCGGTACCATATTCATCACCCAACATCTTAGCCACTCGCGCAATCTGGTCACGTGGAGGCATAATAAGAGAGATCATGCTTGTGCCATTTCCTCTAGCTGACTCCAGAGCCTTGATTAGCTTCTTAATCTTCCAGATCTCAATGTTCCTATCAGTTTCATGGCTGTCAGACATCTTGACAGAGCTTGGATGACTGGCTCACCTGTACAATGCCAAAACACAGGGATATAAGGGATTTGAAGGGAACATTAACCAGACAGTTCACTCAAGAAAAACTTGCAAACAGATTAAAAAAAAACACAGAACAAAGACAAGTCATATTATTGTTATATAGTACATTCAACTTTCTTGTTGACACAAGCTCTGTTCATGATACCAAATTGGACATGGACATGCTAAATAAGAAATGATACCTGTCTCCTGTACAAATTAATCAATAATGAGACTGATTTCTTCAAAGCAGCATGCTCTATTACTTTATACGTAACACAGTGAAAGAACAAGAAAAACAACCACCGTTTATCTTACTAAATATCTCACAACAAAATTTCGGCAGCAAAGGTACTATCAAATAACCACAACACTCAGCAGACAAGGTTAAAATTAAACCACAACACTCAGCAGACAAGGTTAATATTGCCCAATGGGTGGCAAATTTTGGTTTGGTTTAGGAAAAGGTAGGTTACGAAATGTGAAAAAGGTTTTCATTTGCATATACTCAAATGATTTTTGCAGCTAACATGAAACAATCATGAACACATACGATGTTATCACTAGGTTACAGGTACTTGGTAACATTTTTTATGTGGGACAAACATACTGAAATAAAATAAAGCATGGAGTTAACCCCCAAGACAAATGAAGGACCTGCATAGCCATGTAAAATTTTCAGAATCGGAATGTCACCCAGATAAAATAATAAAACCAACATAAAATCTAAATTATATCCAAGAAACAGAATTTAGTTTCAATAATCACAAAACCGAAATAGAGAGTACACTCATGAAACAAACGGAAAGTACAATTAGTACTAGTCAACTAGATATCAACTTGGAAAATCACAAAACAATGAAATATGGAATATAATCAGTCAATAAAGTTAAAACAGCACATCTTAGATGTATTTATCTTCTGCCAACAATGTAATAAAAAATTAACTATAGGCAATCAATATAATTAAAGTAAATCATTGTAAGACCAAACATGCATCTGTCACCAAGACTAAGATAGAAGATAAGAACTAAACCTCAGGCTAACATTTTAAGATCGAATGGCATAAATTTATAGAAGTTGCATTGACATTGACATGGTCAGTGTTTTGTCTTTACAAGCTACCAGAGTCATAGAAGATCAAGAAACCTTCTTAACTTCTTGATTGCCATGTTCATCAAGGGGTATTCCTTCTAGTTCATGTTCTACTAGCAGTCCAGCACATACATTTTCAGTTACCAGTTACTTCCAAAATCAATAAGGCAAACGTGCAGCAATCTACAGATTTCAGAATGTTTGAATCTTTAAAATCATGTAAATTCAGAAAAAAAACACATAGTTTGCTCAATGCTCACTACTACTTCAAGTTAACCTAAATGATACATCACCAATGAAAAGGAAACTATTAGCGCAACAAAACATACAAGAGCAGAATGCAACCATGAAGAAGACATATAACATGTAATTTTCAAACCAACAACGCTAAAAAGAGCGCCGTGAACTTGAGTAACCGCATGTCCGCATGGCACCATAGCAGGAAGGCTCGTCTAATATGACAATAACTCCAAGCATTAAGGAATCAAAATAACCCGATTAATATCCACGATGGAAAATAGCATGTATTCCTATGTTAATACACATCCCAGTACGCTACTTCAAATAGCCAACAAACAAAGCCATCTCCTGGCAGGCAATTACAACTTACAAACACAGCATGGATCCAAATACATCCACCTAAATTAGTGGCCTAAATCAGGAAAATCGCGCGGAACAGCCATCTAGAGTACTTCCCGCACAGATCCCGAGACCGGGAGGCGAAGGATCACTACACGCCCTAGAAATTTCGCCACAGAACTAGGTCCCAATCACTCCCGATCCACCTCGCGCTACCAGTACACCGGATCCAGACTCTAATCTCGACCAAATCTGACGACCACACGAACCATGAAAACAACACAACCCGCGACGATTCAACAGATCCAACCTGCTCCCGATCCGCCGCACCCACGCAGCTCCGAACGATCGGGGGAGAAGAAGCACGAGACGGGATCGGATCGAGGGGGCGCAGGAGGGAGGAAGAGGAGGAGGGGCTAGGGTTTCCTTACCGAGGAGGAGGGAGGAGGAGGAAGAGGGGAGCGCCGACTTCTCGCGGGTGGGAAACCCTCGCCTCTGAACTTCTGGTGTGGTCGGCTGTTTCGGAGAGAGAGAGAGATAAGGCCCCGGAATTGAACCACGCGATATAACCCTCGGTTCCGTGGGGCCCACCTGTAAGCCGGGGTGCGGCTTGGTGGGGGGGGGTGGGGCTTTGGAGACGACGGGATCGGAATGGGTCCCATCCGGCGGCTTTCCCAGGATCTGGATGGACGGTTGGATCGTCACCGCCCAGAGGCGAACGGACCGGATTGGGCCGAATTTTTCTGCACCAATGATTAACAAGTGGGCCTAGTTTCTAGTTTTGTTGTCCCCAACGAATTTCTTCTACCCTTTCTTTTTCAAATATCCATGTTATTATTCACACGTTTCAAACATCTTCTTGTTACATTTTTATTAAAATTAATAAATTTTTTTTGCAAAAATATAAAGTACTTACTTTAGCTAATACTCCTATACCATAAATTTTATGGATTTAAAAAAGTATCTTATACAGAGTTATTTGGTTCACTACCAAAGTTTTATGGATTTAAAAAAGTAGCTTATTTGGTTCACTACCAAAGTTTATCTCACCATGTCATAGCTTAGATTAGGCAAGGTGTCTATTTAGTTTGTGCCACGCTTATGGCATGATTCCTCCATCGTGACGTGGGTCCGATATATCATTTTGCATATAAAAGTGTGGCAAGGTTTTATATGGTGTTGCTTCAGAGAAATGTTCCAATAGGACAGAGTGCCCTTACATAGAGTTGACTTAATAAATCTTATGTTGTAACGTTTATATGTTGTATTTGTTTGTTGCAGGTTTCTGGTCCATTTGACTAACAAGAAACGATTGGGTGTGTTAATAGTAAACTAATGTCGAATGTTCTATACTTGCCTCACAAAGTTGCGTCGTTTTTTATACAGTGGAGAAGTTTGACTCCTCATAAGCTTTTGGGGGCCTTGGATGCTTAAAGGAGTCACTGCTTACCAATGTCCACGATGAGAGGACCAAAAAACTTCTTAAGTTTAGAGGACTGGAGGAAGGTGGAATTTAGTCGACCTAGCCCATGAGAAGATCAATGTGTTTCTAAAAACATGGTTGAAGATCTTTTGTGGTGGTAGTTTGCTAGTGTTTTTAGAGGTTTTTTAGTTATGGATTGTTAAGTTATGCCAACAGCTAGGGTTCTTCGCCCGCCGGGACATTGTGTTTCATTTCGCGCTGGCATCCTTAGTTTTGTTCTTTTATTTTGTTATATGGATCTTTAAGTTGGGTGAAAACCTTTTTGTCTAAAAGTGTAGCAAGCTTATTCTCTTTTATGGCTGAAGTATGATTTCAATTTTGTTGGCCACGTGTTGGACATGTTAGCTAACATAAGTATGACAAATTTTCAGTAATGTGGGTACGCCAATCAAACAGTCCTCGGAAGTACCCAAAACCATGTTAGTTGTATCCACTATTACATAACACGTAGAATCCACTTGTAGTCTCGAATTATGCCTAGTATGAAAGGTGACCTGGAAAGAAGATGATGTATAAAATGGTTATTGGAACCATAGGTAACCAGAAAGGCTAGAAGTTATAGTTTTATGATAGAACATCCGTAAAATGTGTAATTTTTTAATTAATCATGTTATTAAATTTGTAGCTTTACGATAAATTGGATAGAGCATCTATAGTTTTACAAAATTTACTCAAATAAATGTTGGATGCACAAGGAGGTAAATAATTTCGTTGATGTGTGCGTGTTTTTGTGTTCTAGGTTTGGTTTGTGGTGGAGGACTTGACTGTTAGGTTTTAACATTAAGCTTAGACACAGCAACTTAAGTACTTAACCACAAAAAATGACGCACAATGGGAAAAAAAATATAAGTCAAGCAAGTCATGGCAAGATGACCCGTGCGGTTCACATAGAGATAGGATAAAACGAGTCGATTTGTGTGGAAAAAGAAGAAAATGGCGCGTGCTTTGACGCTTTGTAGCATTGACCCTCCTTCCTAGGGTCTTTTCCTGCAAATTCCAAATTGGAGCACATGATTTTGGTGCATGAGTATCTAAAAACATCAGTAGTATTCTATATTCTTAAGTCTTAACCCCGTCGAAATCAACGTATCAACACTCAAGATCTTACCACTGTACAACCTGGCTCCATCACGTGTGATTTGTTGGGCTCAGAAGCAATAGCAGCTGTTATTGGATGGCTCCGCAGTACAAACGCCCATGCTTTTATCCATCGCCGCTCGTCCGAGCACGTCTCATTAACTAACTCACTCACTCAAGTGAGGTCAAATTACAGAAGCTCAAGTCAAATGCTTATCTAATCTGCCGATACTGTCGCCGGATGATGCCATTACACCCCTTCACTCTCACGCAGAGGCTGTCCAAAACCATCAAATCGTCGTGACGACGCGAGACCTCTCGCTAGCCTGACAGACTGGTCCAACCCAACCATCTTCTCCTCCGACTCGAGCCGGAAATCCAAGAACCGAGTCCACCGCGCTCCTCCCCTTCCACGGTCGCTGACAAGTGGGGCCCAGGTGGACCGGCCCGCACGCGTCCCTGCCGCCCTCACGTGCGGGCCTCGGTCGCACGTGTCGCGCGCGGAACTTGTCGCGCCCACACACCACCGTCGCTCCGTGCTAACGAAGATGCGGCACGCGCGGACCGTCGGATTCGCATCGTGCGGGTGAGGGGTGCGTGCCGCGTGCCCCGTCGCCCCGGACGCGTCCAGGTGGCGGGCGTGCGGACAGCCGTTGGATTGGATCCAGCGGCGGTGGTTGGATAGCGCGGGAAGGGAGGAAAAAGGGTTAGGAAAAGGTCATTAATTAATTCGATTAATTATTTTTCGCGGTGATTAATACCTCGCCCCACTCCTCCTCTTCGCTTATTTCATTCGCTCGTCGCGTCGCCTTTGCCTTGCCTCGCTCGGTTCCAAACGCAAAGCACCCAATTCCATTTCCGTTCCCCTCTCGGCGAACAGCCTCGCCTCCTCCTCCTCCTCGCCGCCGACGCCGACGCCGACGCCTCCCCGGCATTTGGTTCGCGCGGGTGGTGCCGTGAGATACGTGGTGGACGGGGTAGGGATGGAGTCGGACGCCTCCACCTCGCCGCGCCGGCGGAGCACCAGCTGCTACAGCGACAGCGGCGATTCGTCATGCTCCGAGCCGTTCAGCGAGTGCGGCAGCGACGACCTCTCGTTCACGCCGGCTGCCGCCGCGGGAATCCACCGGCTGCTGCTGTCGTGCGCGGCGGAGGCGTCGGACGGGACGATCTCGTCGCTCGTCGCGGAGCTGGAGTCGCCGTCGTCGTCGCTGGACTCGCTACGGCGCGCCGCGATGGAGCTCCGGCTGCTGGCGAAGCACAACCCGGACAACCGGATTCGCATCGCGGCGGCCGGGGCGGTGCGTCCGCTCGTCGCGCTGCTGTCGCACGCCGACCCGCTCCTGCAGGAGCACGGCGTCACGGCGCTGCTCAACCTGTCGATCTGCGACGAGAACAAGGCGATCATCGTGGAGGCCGGCGCGATACGGCCGCTCGTCCACGCGCTCAAGTCGGCCGCGTCGCCGGCCGCGCGGGAGAACGCGGCGTGCGCGCTGCTCCGCCTGTCCCAGCTCGACGGCTCCGCCGCGGCCTCCATCGGCCGCGCGGGCGCCATCCCGCTGCTGGTCTCCCTCCTCGAGACCGGCGGCGCGCGCGGCAAGAAGGACGCCGCTACGGCCCTCTACGCGCTCTGCAGCGGCGCGCGCGAGAACCGCCTCCGCGCCGTGGAGGCCGGTGCCGTGCGCCCACTGCTCGACCTCATGGCCGACCCGGAGACCGGCATGGTGGACAAGGCCGCCTACGTCTTGCACTCCCTCGTCGGCATCGCCGAGGGCCGCTCCGCCGCCGTCGAGGAAGGCGGCATCCCCGTCCTCGTCGAGATGGTGGAGGTCGGCTCCCCGCGGCAGAAGGAGATCGCCACCCTCTCCCTCCTACAGATCTGCGAGGACAGCGCTGCCTACCGCACCATGGTCGCCCGCGAGGGCGCCATCCCTCCCCTCGTCGCCCTCTCCCAATCCTCCTCCGCCCGCCCCAAGCTCAAAACCAAGGTAATCATCAATCACATTTCCTCATCAAAACACAATCGTTTTACACGTTCTTGCAAATTACAAATTGGGAAATCGTGTGTTGATCGGTTTTATGATTACACAGGCGGAGGCGCTGATCGAGATGCTACGGCAGCCACGGAGCGCGAGCCTGCGCGCGAGGCCAACGGCGGTCGTTGCGGCGGAGTGACCCTGACCTCGTTCAATTCAAGTCCCCAACTTGGCGGTGCCCCAGGTGTTGTGCTTTGCTTCCCCTATTCCGGCGGCGACCGGGGCCGGCGCCGGCCGCCGGCGCGCGCGTGTAAATATACCAATCAGCGTGTTTGCGTCCGCGAGCGAGTGTACATTTTCCTCAAGCGAGATGACGACGAAGGCGATGGTGGAGCGAAGAAAAGTCTCTTGTAATTTCATTCTTCCCCACCACTTGTTTTTTTTTTCACTTCACTTTTATCCCCTACCTTGCTTGGTTGTTTCCTCCTCGTCAAACGAGGAGAAGGTTGTGCAAAAAAAAAAAAAAAGCTACAAAAATTTCATGTGTGAGCGTGTGGTATCAAACAGTGAGAATTTGTGCTATGTGTGTGTTTTAGTTGGGGAAAAGGAAATTTTTTGGTGTCACATCGAACGTTTGACCGGACGTCGGAAGGGGTTTTCGGACACGAATGAAAAAACTAATTTCAGAATTCGCCTGGAAACTGGAAACCGCGAGACGAATCTTTTTAGACTAATTAAGCCGTCATTAGCACATGTGAGTTACTGTAGCACTTAGAGCAAGTTTAATAGCATAGCCCACTACAAACTCCAATTCACTTATAGCCGATCTAATAGCCAATTTATATAATAGTTGCTTACTATACTAATATATAGTCCCATCTATCATACACACATTGTGTCTTGGAGTCCGTGCTGCAGCTGGCTACAAATCTATAGCCTGCTATTTCTCTCTAATTTTTTATCTCATTAAAATATGTTTATAGCTGGCTAATAGTCTGCTATTGTACCTGCTCTTATGGCTAATCACGGACTAATTAGGCTTAAAAGATTCGTCTCGCGATTTCCCCCGTAACTGTGCAATTAGTTTTTCTTTTTATCTATATTTAATGTTTTATACATGTGTCCAAAGATTCAATATGATGTCTTTGGGAAAAAATTTTGGGGAACTAAACGGCCCTATGTCACTGTGTGTGCGCTACGTCAGGAATCTCATGCAGGTCTATGTGAAATACAACAGAAAAACCTCCTGTCTCTGAAAGCACCAGCCAGTCGGAATTTCAGCTGGAATGAATGACCATGCTGCTCCATTCAGTTCCTACCGTGTCTGCACCGTTTTTACGAGTGGTTACAGTGAAACCACCGTGAGATCAAGGTTAGGTCCGTTGTAGGAACGGCGAGTTCGTTGGCCGTGAGTGCGTGTGCGTGCATGACTTGGTAAACCAGCAAACCTTTTACTACCTGTTCAAACCAACAGGGAAAGCACAAAATATTTTTCCAGTGACCATCCTTGTCATCTACTGCTACTCACTTCTTCTGCGTCTTTCTTCTTCTGCTGCTTGTGGATTGTGGTCTAGAAGACGCAGGAGGACGGATTGGTGGAGAGTGGCGTGGGGGCCCGGGAGCGGTAAAGGCGAGAGATCGATCTTGCCCGTGCCCGGTAGGTCGATCATTCGTTCGCCTGCAGCTGAAAACGACCCTGTTCTCTGGCTGAATCTAGCCTCTGCTGGTAGTTTTCAGTTTCTGGAGCTCTCGTTTCCCGAGCCATGGAAGAAAAGCATATACCGTTGCCTACGCCAACGTGGCTACTGTTGCTAGGACGGTATTTCTACGTGTCTTTTTTACGGGTGTGTTTAATTCACGTTAAAATTGAAAGTTTATTTGGAATTGGAACGGTGTAACGGAAAAGTTAGAAGTTTGTGTATGTAGAAAAATTTTGATGTGATGAAAAAGTTGGAAATTTGAAGAAAATTTCCAAACTAAACAATGGCTACGTCTCCTGATATGGGTAGGGATAGTAGGAGTTGTATGACGAGATTGAGCACATCGTTTCGTTCACTTGTCGTTTGTCGCTTGTCGTTGCATGTCTATGCTACGGATGATGTATTGTACGAGTACTGGAAGTACATGCTTGTGTGGACACGACTGCCTTTTTTGGATGACGTGGAGACACACACCCGGCGAGCGGCAAAGGTGCTTCCAATACTAGCATGAGATTTTTCTCTTTTCTATCTGAAAAACATGCGGTTTCCTGCTCCAACCACACGACCTTGTTTGTGCACAACGCAACGCGTGGACAAGTTCTCGGTGGAGTGTTCGTAACCCTGATGTGACAGTGACTGTCCTTGGCATTTTTTGTTACTTTGTCAAGTGCAGTGCAGCTAAGAGAAAAAGAAGAGTGTCAACTGTTACTACCTACCATACGGTGTATTGCTCGTGCATCGACCAAATTAATCGTCAATGCCCTTCCAAAAAAACAAATATTTGACTCGGACGGCGGGGCGATTGACTTTTGCCCTGTTCAAAGCAGCGCAGCAGAATCCTTCAAAACAGAAGGGGAAAAGAAGCAGAGCTGGTTGTCAACTTCAACCATGAACAATACCACGGCACCCCATTCGTAGCAACCGATGACCTAAAAAGTCACCCACGGAAAAAAGCACACAAAACCCACATCTACACGCACGCAAACATTCCTGCAGGAGAAAAAAAACAAAAACAAAACGTATTCACCACTATACGCACATCTCGGATGCCAAATGCTTGGCATAATTGCGTTAATTAATCTAGCCCCCTGCCAATCATCGCCACCCCGGTAGCAACGGTGCGTTGTGGTTGCCCCCGCCTCCGCTGCGCTGCGCTGCGCACCCACACATGCGCTGCCGGCTCGGCCGGCTGCCGCGCGAACTGACACGTGAGCTCTCCCCCTCGCCCCAATCGGATCGTGAACTCGTGAGACGACCACCCCCGCGCGCGCCACGCGTCGTGCGCGGCCGGCGCGGGGGTGGGCCATCGGACGGATGGCGGGGGGACACATGTGGTCGTGTGGTGGCGCCGCGGGTGGATGCCGCCCCCGCCTCCCTCCTCCGCGCGCGCAGCCGCGCCCCCACTTCGTGCGTGCGCGCGGCTGCGTTTGCGTTGCCTTTCCGCCGCTGGGAGCGGAGCCACAGCCGAACGAACGGAACGAACGAACGTGTTGCGGTTGATGGGGTGCAAAGCGGGGGTGGCATGGAGACGGGCGGCTAGCATGATGATTGCTGATGGGGGTGGGGCCGTGGTGGTGCGAGATGCCGCTGCCTCCGCTGCTGCCACACACGACCACACATGCAAAATAAAACGGGGATCATGTGACGGCACATGAGCGTACTGTGCGGCGGTTTGATTGATCTCTCTGGCTAAAAAGAAAACGTTTCCTTGCCTGACGTCTTTCTTTGATGATTGAGTGTAGAGGTAGCAGCACAAGTAATCCCTCCGTAAAAAAAAAACAAACCCTGATTTCGTGTCCAAAGTTTGACCGTCTGTATATTTAAAAAATTATAAAAAAATTAAAAATATAAGTCACGCATAAAGTATTAATCATGTTTTATCATTTAACATCAATGAAAATACTAATTATAAAAAAAATTCATATAAGACGGCCAGTCAAACGTTGGCACGAGAATCCATGGTCTGTCTTTTTTTTTTGACGGAGCGAGTATATATGATTAGCATATGCCTGTTGTTTCTGCCTGGTTGTTGTAGTTTTGCAGGGATCGGTACGTACGGTACCGCATTCCGCATGTGTGCGTATCGTCGGAGTAAATTTTATTCCCAACATGTCATTTTTGTTATCGGTGGAGTATATTGTACCATGTGGAGTGGTGTGGTGGAAATTAAACCAAAGGTGGTTGACTGCGATCGATCGATCGAGATTTTGTACTAGTGGTACTGTTCGTACAGAGTTGACAATCTACTACTACTACTACCTTTGTTTTTATCTGCATTGACTTGCCATCGATTTTCTTCCATGCGCTGCGCGTGTTTCTTTTCCTCCGATCTTATACGTACGTATTAGCGTATATCTTCACGAAGATCTGCGCGTGACAGAGGTGTGGCACCATGGCATGGGCGGGACGCCGGAACAGGGTAGGGTTTGGTGTGGGGTGACCGTGACAGGAGCGTGTGTGTGCATGGTGCGTCGAGCTGTACGTACGTCCGACCTTTGTAGTAGTGGTTGAGACCAGCCGCGAATCCCCGACGCGTGGCAGCCGAGCGCGGCCCACGCTGGACCGCGACCCTCACACGATGCATGCACCGGCGGATGGATCGGGCAGGCACCACCCCCCCGTGCGGACGATGCGGCCGGTGGCGAAAGCGAGACATGGCCGCCGCAAGCAGCCCAGCCAGCGCGCCACCACCAACCACTGGATACACAAAAACACTTCGCGCGCGCGCGCCCGGCACGCCGGCGTGGGAGACGTTCGCCGTAAGGCGTAACCCAGGCGGTGTCCTCCGATCCGGACCTTCGATTCGACGAGCATTTGCCGGATTTCTCCCGTGATATTTGCGGTGTATACATGCATGTGGCGTGTGCTCGGTTCGATCGGGAGCTAGTTGGCGACTTGCCTAACCCCGATCGCATTCAAATAAATTGCCGTCGCTATCACCAAATGATGCGTGCCCATCCCCAATAATCCCGAGCTAATCAAGCCGCGGTCACCTTTCCGGAATCGAGGTCCAGGCAGTAGCAGTTAAGCGTTGCCTTTTTGAAAAACTCGATGAAGTTACGGCCATGTACGCAACGATAAGCATCAGTTTTCGTACTCCATTCGTTAGTTCGGCGTACGACCACTGATAATTTTGGAGTCACATCAGATCATCATTTTGCCCGTGCAAAAGCGAGTAAATCCAATCCAAAATACTCAAGTATCCAAGGGATGGAGTACTATTTATTTTTCCTACTCTTCACATCTCGGTACAGTAATAAAATGAGAGTGGGTCAAGTTGATTAGTAGTACTCCTATTTTCCTACTATGAAGTACTATGGTTTAAAATTCTGACTGTTTGAAGCGATACTTGTCTCTGGAGTTTTGGACTGGGCACAATTTGACGTTCGAGCATTTCTTTGCTCTGATTTGATTTTTTTCCCCTTATGTATGCTTGAGTTGATTGACCAAATGAATTACGATGTATAGGCTCCCAACAATACCAAAAAGACAGATTCCTTTTCGCGTATTTCGTTGAACGTTGATTCCATACTCTACTATGCAACTTGCATTTATATACGGACCCATTCGTGCATCGTTCCTATTTTATTTTTTGAATATCAAACGCACCGGATTTGATATGTTCTTTTCTTCTTCTTTTGAGTACTTGTTAGACAAAACCGAAAGCACATAATAACTCCATATCCGATAATGTAGACCGAGCACAGCCTCTGAATTATTGGAGGGAAAAAGAAAAAGCAGAACCTTTTGAGTTCAGTTTGGTCATGGGCTAACCTCGCATGAAATTCAGATACATCTGCTGGCATTTTGCCTGGCGGATGTATCTGAATTTTGCCTGGCAGGAACAGGAAGAACCAATTGCATTCGGACATCCCGTCCGGCAATCTGAATCTAAAATTTGTTCCTCAGTTCAATTATCTATC